GGGATGACACCTACTGGTGTTGAAGGTGCTTCCAGGGGTGCTCAGAGCACCATGTGGTATCAGTGATCAAACCTGAGTCGCTCATATACAAAGCATGCACTCTAGCCCTTTGAACCATTTCCCTAGCCCAAACAATCTTGCAAGGCTATTTGTAAATAAAATATATTTATTTATTTATTTTGCAAACACATTCTTATCAGATAATACACCAGTTGTATTATTTATTCAGTTGGGTTATAAACTGTGGTCATACAATAAAAGCAAACAGATTTTTTTTTATTTTGGGGGCCAGAGCGATAGAGTAGCCAGTAGGGCATTTGCCTTGTACATGGCTGACCCAGGTTGATCCCCGGCGTCTCATGTGGTCCCCCAGCACTGCCAGGAGTAATTTCTGTGTGCAGAGTCAGGAGTAACCCCTGAGCATCACTGGGTGTGACACAAAAAAGCAAAAAAAAAAATTATTTTTATAAAGTTTTTCATAATAATGGATTACATTCAATATTTTGACACCAGTCCCACCACTGTTACACCTTCCCACCACCTTTATTTTTAATTTTCCCGCCTCCAGTCAAACCTGCCGAACAGGAAGATGCTAGATATTTTATTTTGTATTGTTTGTTATGAATAGTATAAGATGTAGTGCAGCCGCAAGAGCGACTGTAAACACAGATGTTTATAGTAAAGGTATTCGCAGTTGCCCAGACTTGGAAGCAACCAAGTTGGTAAGTTGGGGGCAACCGAGTTGCGTTCTAGTGGGTTCATGAATCAACCCATGATTATGTTTAGCTGTCCTCAGTTGATAACATGAGCAGGCCTGCAGTCTGTGCAGGTGGAATTTGCAGATGGTATTCTTGTGATGCTTTCATGGTGGGTCCGTGATGTGAAGCTTTTGTCAGAACCCCTAAAACTGCACAGCAAATGTCCCTGTAAATCACAGGCTTGAGTTGATAAAAAAAAATTGTATTCTGTTGTTATAAAGTTTTTCACAATTTATTGCATTCAGTACTCCAATACCAATCCTTCCAACAATGGTTGACCAACACCATTGCACCTTTCCACCATCATTATTTTGAATCTTCCCAATAACCACCCAAGCCTGCCCCAATAGCAGGTCTTAAATACTTCATCTTGTATGGCTTGTTAAGAATAATTTGCTGCCCAGCAGCTTGCGACAGAAAAGTGAATGGATTATGCGTTAATCCATGCCACCATGCCTGCCCGGAGGGGAAAGGGTGTTGCTTCCTTCTGCCTTTTTCCCTCTGGAAAGAAAGATGGCAGCCACTTTGGAGCCTTATGGAAAGCCAGGTATGAGCTGGTCGTGATGGGGCGACTGAAACCTCATGGGAAGGAGGGCATTCCCAGCTCATCCTTCACGCCCTACCGAGGTCAGGAGTTGCCCCCGACGAGCAGCTCTCCGGCACGGCCATGGCTCCAGAGCATAGAAACCAATCTCATAATTATCTGACTCTCAGTAGAAATACTTCCAGGCTTAATAAGTAAAATACCAGAAATCCAAAATCGCGCGGCCACAATAGCAGCCATGCGACATCATTTGATTCTTGTAACCAGCTGTAGAAAACAAATTATTTCACAATGCCTTTTCAGCATGTCTGATTTGGGGGTGTAAACTCTAGATAATAATGGTGCATCTTTTGTCGAAACAATGAATCTAATCAAAGTAGATAGAACGTTAACTAGAATTCATCTGCCTCACAGGCATTGGGAGGCATGGGAGGGGGGGTTTATTGGGGTTCTTGGAGGTGAAAAATAAGTATTGGTGAAGGGAAATGTGTTTGGTAATTGCATGACCAAGACTTAAACCTGAAAGCTTTGTAACTTTTCCCACAGTGATTCAATAAATAAATAAATAAATAAAACTTAAAAAAAAAAAGAATACTTTGCTAAAAAGGATCAAAACATTTTCCATAGAAAGAAGTGCTTGAAGATTGTTTTACCTCACCCTGGAGTCATTAAACCCTTGTATAAGATATTAATAACATGTTGTTATAGGTTGAGGTTTGTGTGCCTCTATATGTGTGTGTGCGTGTGTATATATATACATATAGATAGATAGATAGATAATCGAGATTGGTTGCCTTCTACTCTACACCCATCCAGTATGGTGTGCTACTCCTGGTCCATCAGCGGTGTAGAGTATGAGATGTTGCACAACCACAAATGTGGCCGCACACTCCAGGAATTCTAAAATTTTAAATAGGGTGATGAGGCTGGAGTTAAATTTTTAACTGGATGGTGACTTTGAGGCATGGAGGCATCTCTGAAGCTTGTTGCTTTCTTCTAAGATTTATTTGTGAGTCTCTGGGCCCTGGCCACTAATAAGCTTATATGGTGCCAGAGGCAGTTTGTGGGTGTGACTGCCAGGCTCCAGGAAGAGCAGTTGAGTTTATAAAAAAAAAAAAAAACAGTGAAACACATAATCATGGACTAATGAGAATAGTCGATTTGTTCATGCCCATCTCTTATTTTTTTTAACTTTTTAATTTTTATTTGTAATTCATGCCCATTTCGACCTCAATAAAAACTGCAAAGTTGTTGAGAGGCCCCTTCTGTGACCCAGCGGTAGCTTTTGAGCCCTCAGAGCTGGGCTGTCTTCATCACCCTCTGGTTCCCGGTGGTCTTGGGGCAGTCCTGGAGCACCTGTTCTCAGGACCCCCTGGACAAGATCCTCATTCTCCAGAGGATGCCCCAGGCCTCCAGGTCCATTGCAGATAATGGGGGTGTTGTGACCTCTCTCTTCTGGTGTTAGCCATTTGACTCATGGATGGTGTCGTGTGGGACATCCAACTGTGCGAAGGGGCTGGAGCTCCCCTTGGGGTGCCCCCTGGGGGACGGAGGTCAGTGCTGGATTCAGGAGAAGCCCTTCAGCATTCTTGGTCTCTGTGCCATCCAGGCTTCAGCCTGGTCTTGTGTGCTCTGTTGGCAGGGAGGGGATTCCCCCTCCTCTCTAGGCAAGGACCCACAAAGCGTCATCTTAGCCCAGAGTGAAGGGGTGGGCTGTGGACTTCTCATGGCCCTCAGAGGACAGGGACTTCCGGAGAACAGTTAGACACTTGGTGGCCCATTTGCTGGCCATGATATAGCGCCCGGTGTGGCACGAAAGGTGTCTACTAGCTAGTTTCATGCTGTGAATCTCGCCTTGCCTCAACACATCTTTAAAATGGACTGGAGAGATAGGCAGGGGATAAGGCACTTGCCTGGCCCACGCCAGACTCCAGTTGGAACCCTGGTACCACCAGGAGTGACCCCTAAGCACAGAGCCAGGAGTCAGCCCTGAGTATAGCCTGGTGTGGCAACCCCCTCCCCTCCCCAGTCTTTAAAATGCCCATTGCCTGGTGACTGTGTGTGTATGTATGTATGTGTGTATGTGTTTGTGTTTGTATATGTGTGAGCTTGTATGTGTGAGTTTGGGTTTGTGGGTGTTATATGCTCTCTGGAATACTACACAGCAGTGTTTTCCCTCTTTGCTACTGCTGCTGCTGCAAGAATCTGGGGTCACACACACTCAGTTGCATGCTCACACGCTTGTGGCCACACACTTGAGTTGTGTCTGAACACAGTTGGTTGATCAGGGGAGCCTAGTGGTATTCAGGTTGTACTCAGCATGTGGAGCCCTGCCAGGGATGGAACCCATGCCCGCATCCCTGCAAAGCCGGTGCTGTCCGGCTGAGCCACCCTGCACCCTCAGCGGTTCAAGAGAATGAAATCTTGCCCTTACTGATAATGGGGGGTGGAGGGGGGAGGGTTTGGGGGTGTGCACGGGAGGTGGCTGTGCTCAGCGAAACGACTCAGAAAGTGAAAGGTGATTATCAGAGAGTTTCACTCATTGTGAATATAAATAGCCAAAGCAGAACTGGTAAAACCCCACAGAAATAACTGTAGACTGTGTGGAACTCTGCTGGTCACCAATGGGGTGGGGCGATGGGTGGGGGCGGGGGGAGGGAGTCAATTGGAGACCGGGGGTGGCACCCGTGGGATGAGGCTTAGCCACGCATAGGGGCGCGAGGCTGCTCTCCACCGTCTCGTAGGATTTTGGCAGTGGCACAACGAGGATGTCAGAGCTTCTCAGAGGCCGCGGGGCGTGCTTGGAAGGGCAGCCCCGTTAGATCCAAACAAGGTCTCGGTGAAATGTCTGAGCTTCTCAGGGCTGGGCGTCAGAGGCAAAGGGTATTCGCCACGCAACGGGCGTTTCTCCTTGGGGTCACACCTGGCCAGGCTCAGGGAACAATATGGGGTGCCAGGGATGGAGGCAGGACTGGCCAGAGGAGTCTGCAGGCAAGGTGAGTGTCCTGCGTGATCTCGCTGCCGTGGACAGTGAGAGTGTAGTACAGCACTGTAGCACTGTCCTCCCGTTGTTCATCGATTTGCTCGAGCGGGCCCAGTAAACATCTCCATTGTGAGACTTTGTTGTTACTGTGTTTAGCATAGCGAATATGCCACAGGGAGCTTGCCAGGCTTTGCCATGCGGGCGAGATACTCTCGGTAGCTTGCCAGGCTCTCCGAGAGGGGCGGAGGAATCGAACCCTGGTCGCTAGGTCGGCTGCATGCAAGGCAAACGCCCTACCCACTGTGCTATCGCTCCAGCCTAGCGCAAGTGTATTATTGTTATTTTTATTATTATTATCGTGTTACTGGGCCCGCTCAAGCAAATCGAAGATCAACGGGAGGGCCTTTACTTTACTTTTTTTATTATCGTGTGATTATTACTGTGTGTGGTGTTGTGGGGGCCACTCCTGCCGGAGTCCCAGACCCGACTCAGAGCCTTCCTTGCACGAGGCGTCTGCCTGACCATGCCCCGGCCCTGCATCTCCCTTCCACCGCCCATTGTTGCCGTTCCATTTCCTTCAATCCAGAGGGCGGGGACAGGAGAGTGTCTGCCGTTGTCGTTGTCGGTGCGTCGGGGTCCCTTCCTAGCAGGGCCAGACGGGAAACTGAAACTGTGGAAGGCGCCGCTCAGCCCGGGTTTCTGTTTGCTGCCGCAGGACTTTGTCTGGAGAAGCTGCCGGTCTCCTCCTCGACCAGTAACCTCCACGTGGACCGGGAGCAGGATGTCATCACCTGCTACGAGAAGGCGGGCGACATCGCGCTGCTCTACCTGCAGGAGATAGAGCGGGTGAGTGGGACCTCCCACACACACACTCCCAGGGTGCCTCCTGAAGTCCCAGGGAGGGCCGTGGTGACTGGGCCCCGGTCGACCTGGGCGGGACACACTGGGAGGCATTTTCTCTCTTTCCAAGCAGAAATGACCGAATCCTTTTGTGTTTTCCCTTCACGCCCATCATTCCCATTCCCTAAGGAGTGGGACCAGCGTCCCGGTTCTTGAGTGCCCGAGGTGCCAGGCAAGGACCTGTCTGGGGCAGAGGAAGTCAGAGGCCAGATGGGGCCAGGCAGGCCGGGGCAGCTCGACTCTGACTGGGACTCCCGTCTTTTTCTTTTCTTTTTCCTGAGCGGGGAGCGCTTCTAGGGTTGGAACCAAGCAAATGCTCCACCCTGGAGTTATGCCTTCCACCCAAGCTCCTCTTGACTGAGTTCCTTCCTGTCTCAGCCTCGATCTTTCTATCGGCAAAAGGGGCAGAACAGCACAGCCCACTTGCTGGGGTTCGCTGGAAACGGTCATTGTAAATGAAGGCACTTGGCAGCTCGAACGGTACTCATGGCATTGCCTGGGCACCCTCCCTGATCTCTCCCTTCCACACCCAGAGATGCAACCTGTGATCGTCCAAAATGGTTAAAAATCGGGACTGGAATCATGGCACAATGGAGGAGGCACTTGCCTTACACGCAGCTGACCCGGGTTCCATCCCCAGCATCCTATGTGGTCCCCCGAGCCCCGCCAGGAGTGATCCCTGAGCACTGCTGGGTATGGCCCCCAAACCAAACCACAGCAACAATGAAAATAACAACCCATTTCTGCCCCCTTCCCCCCCAAAAAAATAAAAGAATGATTAGAAATCTTGTGAGACCCTAAAGGCCATGCATCTTACTTTCCATTGCCTGCCAAGGGGGGCGGTCTCTGTTTCCCTGTGGGCTGGGAGGGTGCCCCCAGTCTGGCAGGGGGACACTGCATCCCAGAGGTCTGTGTCACGGTGTGTGACCACTCTCAGCACTGCCTCTGGAACAGTGGTGAGCACAGGCCTCTGCAGAGAGCAGAGAAGCCGCAAAGCCCTTTGACCCCAGAGGACCATAAACCAGGACTCAGGGGGTCTGGGAACTAAGGACAATGCTCAGCTCTCCTGCCCAAGTGTCCTGGCAGAAAGCTACCATCAACAGTAGCTTCTTGAGGCTGGAGTGATAGCACAGCGGGTAGGGCATTTGCCTTGCACGCGGCCGGCCCGGGTTTGATTCCCAGCATCCCATAGAGTCCCCTGAGCACCACCAGGAGTAATTCCTGAGTGCATGAGCCTGGAGGAACCCCTGTGCATCACGGGTGTGACCCAAAAAGGAAAAATAAAAAGTAGCTTCTTTTGCATGGTACCTTTCTCTGCCTGTATTTTTATTTATTTACTTTTCACTCTGTTCTTCAGAATTAGTGATGGTCTCCATAGAGAAATGGCTGTGCAGCCTGCTTTCAAAACCCTCACTGTTGTCACGGTCTGCTTCCTTGGCAGCTGGCCCTGGGCCATGGAGATGTTTCTGCCCCCCTCTGGCCCCACTGAGCTGCCCCTGTCCACACGTGAGGCCCTTGTTAGTTTTGTTTGTCCGTTTGTCTGTGACTTTTTGGTGGCTCTTGTCCAGCCCTCTCTGGCCAGGCTGCGCTCCTCCTGGCTGGGAGGAAGAGGTTTCATCTGTCCCAAGTTTCCCGCGCTATGGCTGATTAGCAGGAGTGTCTCGGCTTCTGGTTTTGGTCTTTTTAAAAAAAAAAAAAACAAAACTCCCTTGTCACCACGGCATTCTTTGTTGTTGTTGTTGTTGGGGGGGGGTCATACCCAGCGATGCTCAGAGGTTACTCCTGGCTCTGCGCTCGGGAATTACTCAGGAATTATTCCTGGCAGTGCTTGGGGGACCACATGGGGATGCTGGGGATGGAACCTGGGCTAGCCATGTGCGTAGCAAATGGAATAGTGTAAGCAAAGGAGAATCCATATCACTTTCAGGAAAGGAACTTGGTTGAACATCTGAAAAATCACTCACTGCCATTCACCAGCTTTGCGGCATCAGGCAGGTTGATCCTCTTCTCTGTGCTGCCTCAGTTTCCCCTCCATGTAAAGCAGCAGTGGGCAGCAGTGGGCAGGGGGCGGGGGGGTTGGCTGCACAGCCCCTGGCCAGCGTCTGGCATGCAGTGACCGTTGGTCTGGTTCTTAGCTATCCTGGTGGCACTGGGCTGTGGAAACTTTTCTAATTTTAGAAATTTCTGGTATTGAGACAAAAGTCTAGAAAGAATTCAACATACCGTCTTATTGGGAAGACTAGAAAAAGTTGGGGATGAGGGTGAGACGTGTTGGAGAATTTGGGGCCACACCCAGTGGCACTCAGGGCTGAGTCCTGGCTCTGAACTCCGGGTTCACTCCTGGCGGGGCTCTGGGGGCCCTGTGGGGTGCCGGGGTACAGCCTTACTGCACTGTCCCCTGCCCCTGTTAGAGAACTTTAGAGGGAGCCTTGGAGAGTAATTATTTTTTTCGAGGGTGGAAATCACACCCAGCTGTGCTCAAACGTTCACTTCCTGGTAGGCTTGGGAGAGACCCGATGGGGTGTCGGGGATTGAACCCGGGTCAGCCACATGCAAGGCAAGTACCCTTGCTGTGCTCGTCACCCCAGCCCCCTGTGGGGTGGCATTTCAGAACTCAGTCTCTTGTCTTTGTGCAGAGGCTGACGGGGCCGCACCTTGCCTGGTGGCTGCATGTCATCAGTGAGTTCTGCCCACTGCTGGCCTCCGTGGACTGTCATTGTCTCTACGTCTTCTGCCCACCAAGGCCATTGGGCTTCTTCCCCGGCTTGCAGATGGGGCGGTGGTTGCCGGGCACTGGCTCAGAAGCCATGTGGGCCGAGCAGGTGTTCGGGCGTCCCTGTTGCCCTCAGGAGACATCTCCTCTCGGAGAGGCTGTTCTCTCAATGGGAAGGAAAGGTGTCTCTGAAATGTGTGCATCTCAAATCACGAATCAAGCCGACTGGATTAGAGCAGGTAGAACTGGGAGGGACACAGAGTGATCTGGTCGGGATTTGTTTATCTGCGGCCGGTGGCCCGGTGCCAGCCGTGAGTTATTCCCCCGCCCCAGGGCCTGGCCGCGTCGCAGGGTGCGGGTGGAGATGACCTCATCCTGGAGGAGCAGAATCTGAGCCTCCCTTCTGGCAGACGGGATGCTTGCTGGCGCTCCCCGGCCGGCCGCCTGCCGTGGCTTCTTGAGCAGATGCGGGGCCAGGCTGGAACCTGACCTTCTGCTGACAGTCGATTCTCTTCACCCTGTTTTAGAGAAGAAGTTTCTCTGCGTCTGCGTCCCAAAGGAGGGGGCAGCCACCGGCTTCCTCTGGACTTTTTATTTTTTCTTTTGCGCTCAAGTTTCCTTGTTTGTTCTTGTGGGGCTTAGGATGGAACCCGGGCCGACCGCGCGGGCGCCTTCCCCGCTCTGCCTCTGCCGTTGTTCAGATCCGTCGCTGACTGCAGTCAGGGGAAGCAGCTGCCGCCCTGATGTTTGTAGGGTCCAGCCCCGCTCCCCTGCCCTTGGAGGATGTGGGCACCGATGCTCTTCCACTGCCCCTCCTGGAGAAGCGCTAGGGTGATGACGTGGCTGGGGCATTGGGTTCGGAACTAGATTAGACCAAGGGTACTGCATGTCTGGAATGCGAGCCCGGTGTCCTTAGGGAAGGACTCGGGGCGGCTGATGCGAGGAGCAGGTGGGTTCCCAGGGCCTCCTCGCCACCAGCTGCTTTACCACCCCCCCCCCCCCACCATAACGTGAGCCCACAGGAGGCAAAACCAGGCGCTTCCCGTGCGCACACCCTGCTCCCCATCCTCTGCCCTCTGCCATGCATTCTTTCGAGAGAGTCCAGGAGCTGATGGCCCTTGAGCCGGCTCCAGCCTCGAACCCGCAGGCCACCGTCTCTACAAGACCCAGCAGAGAAAAGCCTCCGGCCCGGAATAGAGCATCTCTGAACTGAAGCCCACATTTTCTCAATCAGCCTCTGCCCTCCGTATTTATCTTGTAACATTAAGAAGGGCTGGAGCAATAGCACAGCAGGTAGAGCGATTGCCTTGCACGTGGCCAACCCGGCCGACCCGAGTTTGATTCCTCTGCCCCTCTCAGAGAGCCCGGCAAGCTACCGAGAGTATCTCACCCACATGGCAAAGCCTGGCAAGCTCCCCATGATGTATTTGATATGCCAAACACACTAACAACAAAGTCTCCGATGGAGACGTTATTGGGCCCGCTCAAGCAAATAGATGAACAGTGGGAGGACAGTGACAGTGAACATTAAGAAGTTTTATATTTGGGGCTCTAAAAAATTTTTTTTGTTTTTCACTCCATGGGCTGGAGCGATAGCACAGCGGGTAGGGCATTTGCCTTGCACGCTGCCAACCCGGCCAACCTGAGTTTGATTCCTCCGCTCCTCTTGGAGAGCCCGGCAAGCTACCGAGAGTATCTCGCCTCCACAGCAAAGCCTGGCGAGCTCCCCATGTCGTATTCGATATGCCAAACACTGTAACAACAAGTTTCACAATGGGGATGTTCCTGGGCCCAGTCGAGCAAATCGATGAACAACGGGAGGACAGTGCTACGGTGCCACAGTTATTTCAAAGCTTCCCAGTAGGTCTGTGCCTGATTGTCACCCCATGCAGTTTCTCCCTGGGACCGAGGGGGCTTGGTGGGGTGGGTGTGAGGGGGCTGGCACTGGTCATAAATGATGCTACAAGTAGTGCTTTCCTTTGGGTGAGCTGTCGCCTGGCCTTTGCCTGGCTTTCAGGGGGCAGGATGCCCGACAGCGTCTTTGCACCACAGGCCTTGTGCCTCCGCTGTGCATCTGGGGGGTGGTATGGACGGGTCAGCAGCTTCCACTGCAGCCAGCATGGTCAAGTTGCCAGCTTGATGGTTTTGCTCTGGTGCGAAAGTTGCTTTGCCGGTTTGCTGGGTGTAGGCGGGTGGGTGCAGCTTTAATCGTCTGCCACCAGCCGTGAAGTCTCTCTCTCTCTCTCTCTCTCTCTCTCTCTCTCTCTCTCTCTCTTGCTTACCAGAGTTCATTTTTTAAGATACGATGTTACCGAGAGCCAAGCAGATAGGAGAGCAGGTGGAGCGCTTGTCTTATACGCCACCAGCCTGGGTTTTACCGTATTTGATTTCCCTGGACCCTGCCAGGAATGATCCCTGAGCACAAAAGCCAGGACTCAGCTCAGAGAACTGTCAAGTTTGGCCCCCAAACCAAACCAAACCAAACCAAACCAAACCAAACCAAACCAAACCAAAACCATAGTATTGTTGATGTGTCATTCACATACCATCCAGTACTCCCGTTTCAAGTGTACAGGTCACCGAGTCACAGAACTGTAACATCATCCTCAGTACTTCGTTCCAGAACATTCTCGTCACCCCCAAAGAATTCCTGTGCTCCCAAGCAGCCGCTCCCTCACTTATAGCTCCGCAAGAGCCAGATTCCAAGCCGTTTGTGGACAGGACACCTGCTTTGGGCTTGGAGATCTTGTCCCATCTGTACAGCTGGGAAACAGTATGTGCTTCCAGTGACCTTCGTGAACTGCACAGCACCTGGGGGTGGCCTGGGTCACCCTCAGCACTATCGGCCCAAGCACGGCCTCCCTGGCCCCTTCATCAAACCTCAACTACTCAGTGACTTGAGTTTTCAAGGTCGATGTCTTTTTTTTTTTTTTGGCTTTTTGGTCACACCCAGCTATGCACAAGGGTTACTCCTGACTCTACACTCAGGAATTACTCCTGGCAGTGCTCGGGGGGACCATACGGGACTCTGGGGATCAAACTCGGATCAGCTGTGTGGAAGGCAAATGCCCTACCCACTATGCTATCGCTCCGGCCCCAGGTCGAGATCTTCTGATGGTTCGGTTCGCAGATACTCAATTTTGGGGCCACTGTCTTGAATGAAGTCATCTGGTTGTTTCCTCTCCAAGTCATTACGTGTGGTGACACAGCAGGATTTTGTGTGTGTGTGTGTGTGTGTGTGTGTGTGTGTGTGTCTTTTATAGCCTGATGCTTTGCTGGTTGTTTCTAGAAGATTTTTTAGTGAAATTCTTAGGGAATTACAAGTGGTGATCCTTTACTTCTTTTTTTTTTTCCCAAGTGAAGTCAGAAGGGAAAGAATAAGTCCAGGATCATCTCACTTCCCTGTATTTGGTAGAAGAACAGGACAAGCGAGTGGAAGGTATCAAAAGCAAGAGAAGCCTTGACCCTAGATTACAGAAATGAAAAGGCAGGGGAATAGGATGTAGCATGGAGATGGTAATTGCTTTGTCCTTTTCACGGTCAGTAGCTAGTGTATCAAGTTGAAATATGTAGGGCCAGGAGATGGCGTCCAGGGCCCGTGCGCTGTTTTGCAGGAGGAGCTCTTCTTGCCTTCCACGGGGAGGGGCTCCCGTGCACTGCTAGTGTGGCACGGAACCAAAACACGTTTGGCCGATGTAGGTGAAAAGACTTCCAGTTCTTTGCTGTCTCTGTGTACACACACACACACACACACACACACACACACACACACACACACACGCACGCACACATATATATATATATATACACACACAAATAGCATGTGCAACGTAATTACTATCTGGTATATTTTAAAGAGGGCTGGAGCGATAGCACAGTGGTAGGGCGTTTGCCTTGCAGGCAGCTGGCCTGGCCGAGCCAGGTTCGATTCCTCTGCCCCTCTCGGAGAGCCCAGCAAGCTACCAAGAGTATTTCACCCGCATGGCAAATCCTGGCAAGCTACCCGTGATGTATTCAATATGCCAAACACAACAACAACAAATCTCATGATGGAGACGTTACTGGGCCTTTTAGAAGTCTGTGTTTACCCAACAAAAAAAAGAGCAACACTTTTTTCCTGGGGCTGGGAGATAGTACCTTTGCCTGCGGAAGGCTGGTTCCACCCCCAGGATTACTAGGGCCACCCCTTTGTCCCTTCTGACCCCTGCCAGAACCACTGAGAGTAGCCCAAGAACAAAACAAAGAGGACTTGAACAGAGCCAGCCCAACAGAGGCACATTTTTCTGAAGCTGAGTTGAAGAGGACGCCGATCACCTGTTAGTTCTCCTGTGAAGTCTAATTAAAATCAAGCATGGTGTGGTTTACTTTCAAAACCAGACATGTGATAGGATCTCCGTCTTGGTGAAGTGAAATTTCTCTTTCCTCTTGCACACACCAGTGTGTCGGTTATTTGAAAAGAACGTTAAATGATTGCTATTCCTACTGTGGGTTTGTGTTGGTTTAGGGGCCACGCTCATCTGTGCTCAGGGCTCTGTCTTGGCTCTGTGCATAGGGGATCATTCCTGACTGGCTCCGGGGACTGTGTGGGGTACTCGGGATCAAATCTAGGTCAGCCCCATGCAAGGCAAGTGCCCTACTCCGTTACTATCTTTCCAGCCCCTAAAGTGTGGGACCTTTGAGATGATTTTTTTATCTTTTTGGGTCATACGCAGCGATGCTCAGGGGTTACTCCTGGCTCTGCACTCAGGAATCACTCCTGGCGGTGCTTGGAGGACCATATGGGATGCTGGGAATCGAACCCGGGTTGGCCACGTGCAAGGCAAACGCCCTACCCTCTGTGCTATCTCTCCAGCCCCCCTTGAGATGATTTTTAACTGTCTCTATTACACTTTATTTTTAAATAATCATATCACACACAGAGAACACTAAAAAAAAAAAATCTTTTCAATAGCAAATGAAGGCCAGTGTTGGAAAGTTCCCATGTTGGGCCTCTGGGTAGGACCCTCAGGACGTGAGAGTTTGTCTGTGGCCCTGGAGCTCAGAGAGGAGGTCTGGGCTCAGGGTTCTTGGCTGGGCGTTGGTCTGAAGCTCAGAGGTATGGGGCATGTTGGCAGAGATGGAGGAGGAAAGGACGGCCCCCACAGCTCCATTCCCCTCATCTCCATGCACAGGATGGGACAGGAAAGAGACTCCTGCCGGGGGAGGGGCTCAGCTCCTTGGGGCTTCTTAGAGGACTGGGGGTGGGGGGGTGGAGGGTGGCGCATCCTTCGATGCTCAGGGGTTATTCCCAGCTCTGCACTCAGGGATCACTCCTGGTGGTGCTCAGGGGACCATATGGGATGCCGGGGATTGAACCTGGGTCGGCCTCATCTAAGGCAAGTGCCCTCCTCACTGTGCTCCCTCTCCGGCCCCTCCACATCTGAGTCAGGACAAAGCAGGCGGCTTTCGGAGCTGCGAGCCATAGTTCAGACGTACAGCTGCCCGCCCGAGGCCCATGTTCTTCAGGTACCTTCTGTTTTTTACTTTTTCTTTTCCACAACCCCCCACAACCCCCACAAGTTGGACAGACGGCAACGACTTGGTTTCCACTCAGAGAATAATCGCAAGACTTCTGGAATATCTGGCCAACAGCTGAGTCTTTATTCTGTCTCATTTAGGGACCAGCCCCAGCAGTGATCAGGGTTGACTCCTGGCTCTGTGCTCAGGGATCACTCCTGGCGAGGCTGGGGGGTAGTGTATTGGATGCCGGGGATCGAACCTGAGAGAGAGAGAGAGAGAGAGAGAGAGAGAGAGAGAGAGAGAGAGCAAGAGAGAGAGAGAGAGAGAGAGCAAAGGGCTGGAAAGCATGCTGGATCCCTGGGTTCAATCCCTGAGCACCTCTGGGGGTGATCCCCACCGGCCCCCCGCCTCACCCCTAGCTCTGAGCTGGAGTAGTGCCAGAGCTCGGGGGGTGTGATCCCAACTCCCTCCTCAAATCATAATAACGATGACACCTGGGAGCTAGAAGTGCTGCTGGTGGGCTTTCTGCAGATGTGCAGTGTGTTTGGGGGACACTTCATCACTTGGGGACAGGTGGGGGGGCCACAGGGGCAGGCTTGATCAATGCCACCTTAGACTTGTGAGCAAAGGTAGCAGCCTCCGTTCTAGCGGATGGGTGCCTCACCTTCAGGGACTCCTCTCAGCTCGCACCTGTGACCCGACTCCATGGCAGTCTCTAAACACAACCGCCGAAGCCTTGGGGCCTCTTGCCCCAAGAGGTCGAGTTCAGGGAGAGGGGACTGAGTCTGGTATCAGAGGTTGAGTTCGGGGAGGGGGGACTGAGTCTGGTGTCAGAGGTCGAGTTCGGGGAGAGGGCACTGAGTCTGGTGTCAGAGGTCGATTTTGAGGAGGGGGGACTGAGTCTGGTGTCAGAGGTTGAGTTTGGGGAGAGGGGATCGAGTCTGGTATCAGAGGTCAAGTTCGGGGGTAAGGCTGAGCCTGGTGTCAGAGGTCAAGTTGGGGGGTGGGGGTCGCGGTCAGAAAGAGGGGCGCTGAGGTGGTTTTTCTCAGCTCCCCTCTGAGAGTCGATGCTTGTTGCTCGGCCCACAGGCCTCGGCTGCGGAGCCTGGCGTGGTGGCCCTTTCTGGTGAATTCCATGGCCAGGGCCACCCAGGCTCCTTCCAGCTCTGCTTGCAGATCCTCTAGCTTCCACAGGGCGGAGGCTGCCGGCTGCCGGGCGCGACCTGGGCCACAGTGGCGGTGTCTATGTCTACCATGGCTGCAAGGTGCATCTGGTCCCCACAGCCTCTTGGCCAGCCCTCCCAGCCCCCTGCGGCAATGCCCTTCCCTCCCCGGCCCCCCGCACGCATCTCAGAGACGCGCCCCTGCGCACGGAGGCTCGCGGGCCCGGAGGAAGCCAGCCCGGACATGGATCTCATTCGTCTTCCCCTTCTCTCCCCTTCCAGGTAATCCTTACTAATATTCAGAACAGAAGCCCTAAGCCCGGCCCTGCTCCCCACGATCAAGAACTAGGTTTTTTCCTGGAAACGGGACTTCAGAGAGCCCATGTCCTCTATTTCAAAAATGGGTAAGCCGCCTTCGTTTCTTCGCTCCAGCTCCTCCGGGGAGCCGTAGCACGCTCTCCCACGGGTCACTCCCGAGGCTCTCTCCTTCCCAGGAGACCCGGGCGCGGGGGGGGTGGGGAGAGGGGTGGGGAGGCCTCTCCTGGGGCTGGGGGGACTCGCAGAGCCCCCCACCCCCGACGAGGCCCAGGGCCGGCTGGGGTGGAGAAGGCAGGGTGCTCTGCGTGGAGTGGATTTCCCGGGAAGAAGCTTATGTTGGAGCACAGTTCTGAGCCCCCCAAGGATGGCGGGTCCATGCAGAAGAGGGAGTTTGTCCAGTGTCCACGGAAGCCGGTGAGGTGCTCAAGCCTTCCCAGAGTCTCGGGCTTGGGGCACAGGTGCTTTTACGGGGATCTAAGGGCCGGGAGCACCGGGCCCCCAGCACCCTGGCTGGCTGGCCTGGTTGACGCGGTCCGGTGAGGAAGCCGACGGTTCTCTTCCAAATCTCTTCAGCTGTGTCTTGTTTTGACCTTATGCTGCAGGATAGATGTGCACGAAGAACAACAGTAGGTACCAGGCTCCCCCGGAGCGCCCACTCCCCTGTGCATGCCCCGCCCCTGCGCCCGAGGCCTGTATGCTTTCCTCCCCACCAGGCGGGCGGGGAAGAGGCCCAGCCTCCAGATCCCCAAGTGATGCAGTTGCTCCCTTCTCCTTGTTGGGCTTCAAACCTTGGGGTGTGGCGCATTGGTGGATGTGCATTTCATCCGCCTGCCATCCGCAGCCTCGGGCTCGTGGGCTGAGAGCAGACACTGACCCCCTTGGGCCTTGGAAACTGCACAAGGTTGCCAGGGGCCACACACACACACACACACACACACACACACACACACACACACACACTAGGCCTCCGAAATTGCACAATTCTGCCAGGGGACACACACACACACACACACACACACACACACACACTGGGCCTCTGAAACTGCACTAGGCTGCCAGGGACCACACACACACATACACACACACACTAGGCCTCCAAAATTGCATAAGGCTGCCAGGGGACACACACACACACACACACACACACACACACGCATGCATTCATGCGGGCGCACGTGCGCACACACATGCACTAGGCCTTCGAAACTGCACAAGGCTGCCAGGGGACACACACACATGCATGCATGCGGGCGCATGCACACACACACACACACACACACTGGGCCTCTGAAACTGCACTAGGCCCTGGGTACTCCATACACACACACACACACACACACACACACACACACCTGTCCACACACACATACGCACACACACACACACACACACACACACACACCTGTCCACACACACATACGCACACATGCACACATGCACACACACACATGCACACACACACACACACACACACACCTGTCCCCAGGGGCCGTGGTCAGCACCCCAAGGTTTGGGACGGCCTGTGGCTTTGGCACGGGGAGGCCTCGACTCTGATCTCATCTGCCGTGGACTGAGATCCCAGCCACGCCGCATGCCCCCTCGCTGCGTCCCCACTGGTGTTTTCTTTGCTGTTTTTAGTAGAGGGAGCGCGGTCTGTGTGGGTCTGTTTCTTCTCCCCCTCCCCAGTATGTGCCGGCTGCCGCCGGGCACCCGGCCCTCCCTCTGCCCCCCTGCCCTGTGCCTGCGGGGGCTGCGTCCATCTGTGGTGCCGGGGAGCGCCTGGCAGACCTTCTGCTGCAGATGCTCCGAGGGGCGGGCGTGAGGGACTTCAGTTCTGCTCTCCTCGCCCCCACTCTCCCCCGGCTGCCCAGTGCAGTCCAACTCGGAAACAATCAGGACGGGAGGCCGGCAGCGGGAATGGGTGGCTGCCCTGCCGCCCTTGCCGACACATTTCTCGTCCTGTCTCACCCAGGTTCAAGGAGATGCCCATGGGGATGGCCAAAGCCAAGGCCGGCCTCAGAGGCCGCTTCTCCTTTTTCATTCTCCTGCTCATACCTCTGGGTTCTGTGATTTTCCTAGCAGTGCTCAGGGCTGACTCCTGACTCTGTGCTCAGGGCTGACTCCTGGCGGGGCTCGGGGGAGGGGGGACCCATATTTGGCGCTGGGGATGGAACCAGGGCTGGCCGCGTGCATGGCAAATGCCCTCCCCTCTGTACTGTTGCTCCAGACCGCCCCCCCATCTAGTCTCTGGGTTCTGGGGGTCAGCGGTGGCCCTGGGACTGGCCACCAAGCAGGTCCTGGCCACTGTGTGTGGTTGGCATGACCAGGCCTGGTTCTGGGAGCTCCCCTGAGGGTTATGGTGGGGCAGCTGGGGATCGTGGAGAGCACGTGTTTTGGGGCAGCCCTCCCCCCTCACCCCAGTATCACACTCAGGGGCCCTCGCTGGCGAGCCCTGGGCACAGCGGGGTGGGGGGGGTGGTGTGCAGCTGCCATCTAGAGCTGAGCCTGTGTCCTTGGTTTTTGCTCTCTCCCACGCTCAAATGCAACACGCCTGAAGGGCAGTGCTTTATTTGTTTAATTTAATAAATTAATTTTTTTTCTGGCCATGTTCGGGATCGAATCCGAGGTCATGACAGGCAGTGCACCTGGTTTCCGGGGACTTGGGGAGTGTGCATTATAAAGAGTTGGGCAGGAAGACACGGAAATTGGGAAAGTGCGTTTTCTTGGGAAAAAGCCCCATAAACCTCCGCCCGCGCTGTTGATGTCAGCCCTTGAGGGCTTAATGGTTGTGGGTCTTAGTTTCCTTCCATCCTCCTCTCCCCACCCCCCAAGAGTGGGCGCCAAAGTGGGGCTCGTGGGTGTCCTTCAAAAGGACCCTGACTGAGGGTCAGTCCTGCTACCGCACCCTGCCAGCACACCTCGCCCAGTGGCCCCCACACACTTCCCGGGGACCCGTCTTGGGGCCTGCTGTGTCCTTCTGGCTCCTCTGGAGGGGATGGAGGGGCTCAGCGACATCACCTTGGCAGCTGTTCTGAACTTGCAGACTGTGGCTTAGCACCAAAGGCAGCTGGGGCGGGGGGTTGGGGGGCACGGCTGTCCTGTCTCTGCCCGCCCCCCCGAAGGGTGCTACTGGGCTGCTGGCCTCAGGGGTAGCAGAAGCAGGCGACAGGCTGGCCCTGGAATAGCTTTGTCTTGGCTCTGCCCTTGAATACACGCCCCCTGCCCCCCACCCTGCACTGACGAATGCTCATTCATCTCTTTATTTGGGGAGGGGTTCTCCCCAGCAGTGGTCAGGGGGCTACTCTGGGCAATACTTGGCTACCTGCTCAGTGCTGAGTCCCAGTAATGTAGACCCAGGTGTCGGGGACCAGCGGGTCCACACTGGGCCGTGTTTGGGGGGGGGGCTGTGGGGGGTGGGGGGAGGTGAGGAGGGGAGCAGACAAAGACCCCCCCGCCCCCCACACATTCAAGGCAGGTGCCCCGAGCTCTGAGATTATTGCTCCAGCCCTGATTTTTTTTTCTTTTCTTTCTCCGTTTTCTTTCTGGCATTGCTCAGGGTTTTCGCCCGACTCTGTGCTTAGGGTTCGCTCCTGGTGCAGGGCCCCTGTGGGTGCCGGGGGTCAGACCCAGGTCAGCCGTGGACTAGGACTCCCCCCCCACCCCCCCCCCCCCCTGCTGTCCTGACTCTCTGTTCCTGCATTTTCGCTTTTACTCCCCTTTATCTACGTCCTGTGTGGTTGACCAAGTTGTTGATGTTGTGGCTGCTTGGGGCACTGATTATTCCAGCCCCAACACCCCCGCTGGCATGACCTGCCTCTGCCCTGGTCCCTATTTTCCCAACCGCCCCTAAAGCTGTCCCTAAACCCAGCACAAAATAATTTCTTTTGTATTGCTTGTTACAACTAAAGAGCTAAATGGCATTACAAAAAAAAAAACAACAACAACAACAACAAAAAACACCTTTAGTAAGAGAAACATTGTGAAAATTGTTGTATCTTGCCACAGGGCCATTAGGTCCTCATCTGAATGTTTACTCAGCCATTTGTTGCGGGTCAAGCCTTCAGTGTTACAGTGTATTGTGCTTTGTTGGCTTCTGTGTTACTTTCCAGTGTAACCTGGTGCCCCTGGGCTGTCGGTGTTCTGGCGTTTGGAGTCACATTTGCTCCCGCGAATGTGTCCACGAATGTGTCCACTGTGCACTGCAGCCAGTCCAGAGTCTTTAGCTGGGCTGACGGGCGAGTCTGAACTGCAGCAACTGTGGGATGTGGGTGTGGCTGGTGGGGATTTCGTAATTACAGGGGAGGAGGCAGGGGATGCCCGCCCCCCTCTGAGAGGACCCCAGCGTTCTCAGCCTGAAGACTGATTACCTGGGATTTTTGGCACTTCAGCCTCTCTGCAGAGGTCCCTTGTGAAGCAGCGGAGTCACTGTTGGCAGCTGTGGGGTTGGGGGAGGGGTGTGTGTGCGGCTGCTGGAACTGGCCAGGACTTGCCCCACACCCCCAGGCCAGAGCAGTACAGGGTTTCCAGTCGTGAGACCCGCTTACCCGTGGATTTTTGCGGCTAGTCGATGTCACCCTAGATTTCATCATGAGTCTGTAAAGCTGAGCCGATGGCTGAGTTGCCACGGTGATGATTGTTGGGGTGCAGCTGCCAGGCCTCCCGGATGGACCAACCTTCACTTTTTAACCCCACCCGCTGTTCTCACCTTCTAAGTCAGCTGCAGTGCCTGCCGGAGAATTCTGACTCGTTTTCTGGGAAGCAGTTAACCTGGGAATGTGTGTCCACTTCCTGTCCTTGCACCTGTGTTGTGCTTCCAGCAATGGAATAATTCCAGTGAAAAGGGGCCCAGCACTCTGGGAGACCATGAATGGGAAGCCCAGGGCCGCTGCGTGAGCTCAGGGAGCCTCAGAGGCGCCCGTGCCATCCCCAACCCCCGCGCCCCCAACCCTGCAGGCCGGTCTGTGCTCTGTGCGTGCTCCATCAGGCTGTGCCCTCCTCGAGAGGTGCCTTTCATGCCCCGCAGGGGGCAGGCCCTGTCTTAGCCACTGGGATGGAAAGCTGGGGAGGAGGGTTGCCCCTGTCCCCTGGACGTCAACAGTCTCACAGGGAATTTCGGGCCATGAGCAGAAGTTTCCAGCTTCGTGGGGCCTGTGGTCACGGGGGACCATGCAGTTGCCGTGTTGCAGTGTCCACGTGGTGCGGGGAAGGAGAGGGAGAAGGGGGAGCCCGACGGGGAGGGGACTTGGTGCAAGTGAGAACTCCACGTTCTCTCAGCACTGGAGTCTGACAGGCCAGCAGACCAATCTTCTGCATCTAGAAAGCCGTCACCTTTCTAGGAACCCCCTTGGCGTGGGAGCTGGCCCGACGCTGGAGTGGCTAGAGCTCCCTGGACCCTGCCACGGGCCAGGAATGGCAGTGGTCAGGACGGGACACAAGTGCCCATTGTCTGGGTGGACAGTCCATGAGGGAGACACAAGGAACAAGTGGCCCAGTGTGGGGGGCAGCGAGTGCCGGGTGCGTGCGGGGTCTGTGAACACAGACAAAGCGTGGGTCTGGCTCGGGGCAGGGTGGTCACGAGGAAGCTCCCCCAAGACCAAGACATGCAGGGTGAGGAGAGGGAGAGAGG